ATGTAGTAGATCCAGGTGTTTGTCCATGTTCTTGTTCTCAGGCTGAGTCATAGATTCATGAGAGTGAGCAGGTGACTGGGTGAGTTTAGAGTGATCCAATTCTGAACACCTGAGGTTCATTAAAACAACGAATAAAGACAATCTTTCTCAACATTTCCTGGTAACCTTACTATGCTTCTGTATTCAACACTCTCTACATAAACTATTTCAAACTTTCTTCTCCCCAATCCAACAGTCTTCCACTTCTCCTCTTTCACAGAGGATGTGATTGTTATTTCCTCTCCTTCTCCTGTTACATTACAGTAGATCGCTCTCCTCCTATCTAAGGGCAGTCTCTTTAGCTGTGCTTGAGATCCTAGCTCTGCTCTTACTTCTGCACAAGGACATCATTTCATCAATATGCCCCTTGTTACTGGCTCCCTTCTATCAGTTTTTAAAGTTGCTCAAATCTCTCCCATTTTAAATATTAGTAACACTCTCCCTGAGTCCTATCTTCCTCCTCTGGTTATCACTCCATCTCTCTTCTTCTTCAAGGTAAAAGCTCTAAAAACATTTATGTACCCTCAGTACGTCTCCACTTCCTGATCATCTGCTACTTCCTACTCCTTCCCTCTGACTCTCTGCACACCTGCATGTGGCTTAATTCAATAGACACTTTTCAAAAGTGTTTAACTTACTTCATCCTGCTGCGGGAATTGACATTAAACACACCCTTCTTTTCAAAACATTCTCTTGACTTCCATGCCACCTTGGCCTCTTCTCAGGCTCCTTTTCAATAGCAGTTCTTCTACTCAGATTTTAAATGCTCTTGGTTTTCTTTAGAGCTTGGTCCTAGACTCTGCAATTCTTCCTCAGAGACTACATTCGATCTCAAAAGCTTTGATTTTTTTTTTTTTTTTTTTTTTTTTTGCTCGTAACTCCCAAAATTTTGTTTCTAGCCCATCAGAAATCTGGGACTGTAAGATAGAAATCATTGCTACCTCAGGGATCCATTTCATCTGTTCTAATAGAACTCTTTGTTAAATGGCATCTTTTAAATTAAATGTTTGAGGCCGAACTCTATTATCCAGCCTGTTGTCAAAAAGAGAGCCATCACAGACCCTACTCATGTTCTAGAAACTCTTTGGTAAATCCTGGGTCCAGTCATTCTGTCACATGGATCCTGCATCATATTTTTATTTTCCAAGAGCTCTTTCTTGTTCTCCAGTTGTACTTTGGAAAAAATGGCATCTTATTTTTGTTGAGTGGATGCAGTAACTTTTTAGGGTCACTGAAAAAAATCAGTATTCTTAAAAAATTTTCCCACAATTTTATTATGAAAATATTCAAACATACAGCAATGTTAAAGGAATTTTACAGTGAACATTGTTAGCCAAGGTTCTACCAATAACATTTTATTATGCTTATCACTTATTTATCTAAAAAATTATGTTTTTGAAGTTTGTTTTTTTCCTCTTCCATCTGTTGCCTCATTTCTTTGGGAGTTCCTTTTCTTTTTGGTTTTTAGTCTTGGTCTTCCTTATCAGAAGCGGCTCTCAAATGTCCGCTAATCCTGTACTATTCTCTTCACATTATAGAGTAAGGCACAGTTGATAGAAAGTTCTGTCTGTCTGAGGATGGGGTGACTTTTTGACTGGTTGGCTTAACAATGGGTGATCAGGCAAGCAAAATGGCTTTGTTTATAGGGCCTTTTCTTGGGGGTAAGTTCAATTTCTCCTGAAAAGAATCCTCCAATCTTCCTCCTTGAACCACATCAGCCCAATTGCCAGTGCTCTGGGAACAAAGTGGAGTAGGAAAGCCTATTACTTTTTGTGTTTCCAGGGTAACCTGACCTACCATGGCACCTACCACCCGACTGATTACTTTAGACTGTATACCTTCACACTGTGTTGTAAGCCCAATGAGATAGAAACCATGTCTGTCCTTTTCACATATCACCAGCACCCAGCACAATCCATGGCACACAGTAGGCACTCAAAAATGTTTGTTGAGCTCTGGCACTGGCTCAGGTGAACTACAGGGTAATACTTGTTTAGGATACAGGAACCTTCAAGGATGAGAACACTTCCACCCAGAGCATTTGATATTTTGCCCAGAATTTGAATCAAGCCATTTGTACTTTCCACAGCCCACATACAGCCTATACCTCTAAATGCCACGGATGTTGTTTCTCTCAGATCTAGTCTGCTCCTCATGGTAACAGAAGCACTGCAAATTAAGTAAACAAAAGGCACGCCCTTGGATTATGAAAAATGTTGCCTATTCTTGGTTCCTGTGCTTGCATACATTCTAATAATTATCCAAGAAATTTTCTTATTAAGTTGATAATGGTAAGATCCTTCTACCTTAGCAGATAACCAGTATAAATAGCTCACCCTCTGAGGGTGGAATGGGCTTTAAATTCTTCTTTAAGTTCCTTTTAGGTGGTGAAATCTGTTCTGCTAGCTGAGAAGGAGAAAAGAAGTTGATCTTTGGGGAAGAAGCCCTAAATAGACACACTAACTAGCAACCAGCATTTTGACCGAGTGGATGCCATGCTGGGAAGCACATTCCCTACAAGGAATAAAGAAGGGCTCCTAATGGGAAGGAGGAAGGGAGAGGAAAGTGAGGACCTATATACTAGTTAGGCTGGGCGCAGGCTAAGCCGGTATAACAGAGACCCAACTATACACTAGATTACAGAAGGTGGGACTTTATTTCCCTCTCATATAACAGTCCAGAAATGAGCAGTCCAGGCAAGTGTGGTGGCTTCGCTACGTGCAGTCATTCACATCCAGACACCTACTTTTTTATTCCTCCATTCCTTAGAGTGTAACCTTTGACTTCACAGTCATAGCTAGGTTGCTGCCCTGTGAGCAATCTAATGAAAAGGGGAAAAGTGGAAGCAGAGGACATTTATTTTTAAAATTGACACGGGAGTTGCATGAATCACTTCTACTCATATTTCCTTGGCAAAACTTTAGCCACATCTAGCAGCAAGGGAGGCTGGGATTATGAGTGGCCATATGTCCAGATAAAAATCTATAACTATGGAATAAGGAGAGACAGATTGGGGAAACAACTAGCGATCTCATTTTTTCAAGGAAATAAAAGCAGGGAAAGGAGGGCCCAAAGATGATCTCAGTGGCAAGCAGCACACTGACCATGGTTAAGAGACACGAAGGTAGAACCCCGTGAATCATCCTCTTTACCTGGTTTTGCCCACTTGTGGCACCAGCATCTTGACTATGGTCAGACAGAGCCCATTCACTTCAGGTATCTGTAAAGAAGAACCTGAAGAACCGTCAAACTCTTTATGACAGTGATAATAGTGCTGGTTGCCATCAACTGAAGACAAACTCTGGAATGAGTGCTCTATCGGATATACTGTACTTACTTGCACTGAACAAACTACAAGAGGCCACACAGTGACATGTGACCCCAAACACACAAACCTCCTCACTAGGGATCTGGTAAACACCCTTAGTGAAAGTGGGTAAGGGTATAGTTTCAGTGAATGACTGTGTTGACTTAACCCACATAAGCTGGTCAGACAAGAATGACCATTTTTTTTTTTAATTTTTCCTTTTTTTTTATTTTATGTAGTAGAACAAGGAGTTCAATCTGTAACTGACTGTGAACAATCAAGTGAGATAACTCACTACCTTCGGACCAGCTAAGAATGACCATTTCTGTCCTCAAGCCCTCATTACCGGTGGCAGGGAGCTTTCAGTCTTTGCTTGCTAACCTTAAGGTAGTCTGAAAGGCACCGAACCTTTCCTTCTTCAACTTGAACTCCTTGGCGTCCTTTGTCTTTTGTCTGTGGGGAACAGTGGTCTTCCGTACTGAGACAATAGAAAGGGACTTTTAAAACCTCTTTTCCAGGAAGTCTCTCTTCCTACTTGGAATGCAAACTGAATCTTGGACCCTCATTTCTATAAGGCTGTAACATTGTCCAACATCATACATCTCCCAAGCAACACAAATATATAACAAATTAAATCTCCATGCTTAAAGCAGGGTGAGGTATAGAGCTAAAATGAGCCGAGCAATGTGGGTTGATAAATCAGGAATACCTGTCGTCTGCAATCTATGGATGATAGTCCAGAGTTTAAACATGTGAGTCATAGAATTCCATTATCCAGTCTGCCTGATTGTCTACCCTGTATTTCAGAGTGAACTTACTTACCTAGAAAAGGCCAGGACAGAGGGTAGCGCTAACACTTTGCACAATCTAAGACATACAATTCATATGGAGCTATGTAAACTCCTAATGTTGTATACTGGCCAATTTGCATGATGGAATATGACCTGAATGAGAGATATTTTCTCTTATTGCGAGATTCACCTGAGTTCCAATCCCATCTAAACTGGTAACATCAGAATAAAGAATGAACACTAAAAAGCCCTGCATTCTTTGTGTATCAGAGGACAGGATATCCACTTTGCTATTTTAGGAGGTACTTCAGGATGCCCTATTCTATAAGGAATGGAAGAATTTCCTAAAGAGGCTAGGGAGGGTTATAAACAAAGAAAAACATAGTGAAGGAAGCTCACTTACTGAAGTTTACAGTAAGAAACATTCCATACCCAAAGAAAGAATAGGCAGTGTTTACTTCTCCAGAAGAGGAAATGACTTAATAGTGCTGAAGTTTGACTCCAGTATCGAAAACAAGTACTGAATATTTCATAGCATCTTTCACACCTCAATTTTTAACCAACCTTCCATTTCCAAGAAGTCAGGAAAAGGGGAAAAATATGTAATTTATTTATATTTGTTTGCTATACCACTACTAATGCTAAATATCAGATTCGCTTACACTATAGGAAAAACATAATATAATGGATCATATTCACAATCACTGCCCTAGCTATAGAGAATCTTAATTTATTTCTGAAGCAAAGCACTGGTTCAAACACGGCCATTTCAAAATGAAAAAAAATTACATAAAAGACAGAATCTATTTCTCTTACATACAAAATTGTTTTCTTCCAACTAACACACATATTTTTTTACCCAGGTGCATATTTTGGAAAGAACCTGCTGAAAAACTTCCAGCAGTTAGATTTGGCAGGAAATTGCATGAGCAGTGATGGATGGCTTGCCTTCATGGGTGTATTGGAGAATCTTAAGCAATTAGTGTTTTTTGACTTCAGTACTGAAGAATTTTTGCCTGGTGCAGCATTAGTCAGAAAACTTAGGCATGTGTTATCCAAGTTAACTTTTTTCCAAGAAGCTAGGCTTGTTGGGTGGCAATTTGATGATGACCTCAGTGTTATTAAAGGTGCTTTTAAACTAGTAACTGCTTAAAGGGTACCTTAAGTGCTCTGGGGACCCCATTATTTTTAGCCTAATGATTTTAAAATCTTACAAAAGGAAGTCAAAGAAGATAAGGAAGTGGAAGGGAGTTTAATTCGATAACATGTGCAGTAGTTTTGTGTTTCATCTCTCCTATTAGGATTATCAACTCCTTGAAGGGACTCTTGTTACCTCTTTGTGTTACCCTGGGCCCCAAGAATACCAGGTCACAAAAATTGATATATTGTATGCATATTTACTTAGTATAGTGCCTGGCATGTAATAGATTCTCAACAAATATCTGCTGAATATGAGACAATTAAATTACTAATAAATGACTACTGAATAAAGAAACAAACCAAAATTATTTAAAATCAGAGAGAAAACTCCATATACATTCTTTAATTCAAACAGTTTAATTCAAACAATCTGGAATGTAAAAAGCACTATCTTATATTAGAAGCAGATCAGACTCCCCAAAAAAGATTGGCATTCTCTAGTCAAGCAAAAATTGGCAGTTTACACACAGCTAAATCAGAGGCTTGAAATTCAGGTCCTCTCCAGTACCTGATACATTGTATGTCATTCCAACTGTGACTTCAGAGATTAAGAAGAAAGGAAAAGTGTATCCCATTCTTTTATACCCTACTGAAGGTAAGGGTACTCTGCCCTAATCTTTTCTCAAACATTCCCAAAATAATCCCTCCCCACAAAAAAAGAAGTCTAAGAAAAATCTCTCTAATCTAAAGAGATTTAAATTGAGGCAAATCTGAAAAAAACACCTAAAATGGTGTTATCCTGCGGTTCACCTTCTATTCTCATGGCACCTCAAATTAATGGCTTAGGTGTTGGTATAGGCAACACTTGGCCTGTATGTTGAGGTAGTCACTAGAAAGAAATTCTGGGCATGCTATTTGTTTAGCAATTGGGCACATATTCTGCAAATTTAGTCACAAAATTTTAGAGCTGATATTTTACAGATCAACTAATTCATTCCCCTCCCTAACTTTACAGATGAGAAAGCTGAGAGAAGTTGAATGATTTGCCCATAGGTTACAAAACTTCTTACACAGTAGCAGCATCAGGATTGGAATCCAAATCGCTTGCCTCCCAATCCCGAATTTTTTCCATTACAATATAGTGACTTCTTGAAACAGGGTTAATCACACTCCATGGAGCTAGCTCTTAATCACAAACCATGGGCCAAATATTTAAATCAAACTTCCTTCTTTACCTAGCTTCAAGTGATTCTGGGGCAAGATTTACTAGTAAGGCTGCTTCCTGTAGGCCTATGCTGGTCAAGTTCCTCATTTTCATATCTAGAAGTTAGTCAGAACTTGGCAAATAAGTCTTCTTTATATAACAATACATGAGCCAATGTCACCTGTAACAGCTGGCGTTACTGATTTTCAGCAAGTAGGGCTAATTCCTTCACAAGCCACAGGCAACTCTGAGTGACCTTTCTCGAAGTGTTAAGTAGGTATTAAAGCACCTTTGATGGGACAGCTGCACAGGTGTTGCCTCTGAATGGGTGTTGAGGAAGTAGGCATAAAACCTCACACAGACCTGTGTTTGGTACCTGAACACTTTAAAATCCCATGGGGATGGAGAAGACATGCATGGGGTGGGAAGCACATACCTCTTAATCATCACTCAGCACATGGCAGTTCTTCAGATTTCATGCATGACCCTAATTCACATTCAGATGAGGTCAATGGAGAAAAAAATCACCCTGTAATAGTAGACCAGTGATAGATAGGTTGCCTTATTACATTTTACGAAGTTTCACTTTCCCCAGTAGTCAAGGTAGCGTAGGCTTTTATTTCTTCAGCAGGTCAAATGCCTGAACTGGGTTGCAGATGTCAAAGACAACGACCAACTCCTCACCAAGAAAAAGATATTTAGGTACCTTATACCAAAGATGACCACAATTCTGCTTGACAGAGATGGCTTCTTGGATGTTTGTTATTCCACTGTGAAGAAACAGGATTTGTAAATGTTGTTCCTATTTAAAAGAGGATGAGTTGACTGAAGAAACTGTTGGAGAAACGAAAGTCTTCTCTAGATAGCTGGCTGATGGCTGGGAAAGTCATAGATCTCCAGGAGCACTGCATTCCAGGAAAGTTGAATCCACTTTCAAAATCCCTTTTTAAAAACCATAATTACAGAACTCATGATAAAACAAAACAACAACAAAAACCCCTCAAAGGTAACTGTGACTGCTGCTTGTTATACTTTTTGGAAGTAATACTGGCCATGTTGGAAAGTCCTTAAAATCTGAATTTGGAAAATAACCAAAAAATAAAAAATCTACATGATTCTCACACTTCATCACAGTCAGCAAATCACCATTTTTGACAAAGCAAAACAAAAAAAGTTAGAAACTGCCCACTGCAGCCCTAACAGTACGGTATTCTATAATCTAAGGTCAATTATGCATTGGTAAAGTTATATTACATATACTCAAATTCTTTGTGCAACTTTGAAAAGACATCAAATTCCATATTATGTATGGAATTCCATATATTTTGGTAATATATTTGATATATTTTGTTAATAAAATGAGAAATTTAAAAAGTCAATGAAAATGTGACATAAAAGATAAATTCCAACATTATGTTATTAGATTAAACGTAACATAGAAAATTCTGGCAGCAAAAAAAAAAAAAAAAGAAAATTGGGATTCTTTCATTGCATGTCATGAAAGGCTGGGTATTCATATAGTCAAAATGAAACATTGAGAACCATGAGCTATTTACAAATGCACTGAAATTCTTAAATTAGAAAAACTTTAACAAAAACCTGATAATGAAAAAACTTAAATTGTGCTAGATAGAATGTGTTTCAAAATTTCTGATAAAAACAATTTTGCTTTTAATTTGCAAGACCTAATTCAGGAGAACCTCAAAGAAAAATGTAGCGAGTTTGGAAAAGCTATAAAAGAGACTTTTACTTTTTGAATGGGCATTTTTTCCTTTCCTAAAATGTGTATTATTCAAGAAGCATGTTTATAAACGTCACTAAAGAAAATATTATAGTCTTAGAAATGTGACAGATCCACTTTATCAAATGGCTCTCTTATAAAGGTAAGGTCATATCACACTGCAGTCGACTACAAAATCAAAGATAACGAAATCCAAATTAAGAGAAACACATTTTCTAAAGGAAGCCTATTTAAAGCCTACCAACATTTACAGGGATCTCATTACCACAAATACATTTTACAAAAATATAGTTTCATAGGTTTAATGAAAGGTGAACAAGCCTACTATTCCCTAACATTTATAGTAAATGATTGAAGAGTCAATGAAAAGTTAGATTACTAAATAAACCGGAAGCCAAGGAGTCAATATTCCTCATAAAAATAAGTTAGTGTCCATCATGGTCTTGATTGTCCAATTCTATTGTTAGTTCCATATCTACTTGGTATATTTGTAAAACCAGTCCTGAATCCTTGGGTTGCTCCAATTCCTGGAACTCCAAGTCCTTGATTAAATATGCTGCTATAAGATGTGTGTCCATGATTAAGACCCAAACCATAAGGCCTTGTTTGTGTGTTTAGAAGAATAACTGGATTCACATTTTTTCCAGGGCTGTTAAAAGAAAATTCTGGAGGTGGACTACTAGGTTTGGTTGGAGTCGATGTAACAGGGTTCAAATCATCAGTACCCTTTAAAAGAGGCATTGGGATTATGTGATGGTCTGAAAAATTTAGGACATTGGCTGCAACAGGCCCAGACAGTAAGGCAGGCCTAATCCAATCATCCTTGAAAATTTGAACAGTCAGAGTAGACACTAGCGTGTATAGCCTGTTGGTCACATGAGCAAGAACCATTTGTTCATTTGCATCTCGTCGAATTCTTACATGCACTGATCCAGCCTAAAAGGGGAAAAATCATAAGAAAGAGATTGCTTAGAATTATACTAATAAAAATTCTATCAGAAGTGAACATTTTATTTATGGTTTGGTCAGTACTTAGTATTTTCTTTAAAACAAGAGAAAGCTTAATGTGTCCTTATTTCTTAAAAGGTTCCTTACTGGTATTATTAACATAAAAATTAATGAAATAATCTGTGACTCTTTAAAATATAAAAAAAGAAGAGAAATCCATGTAGGAGGAAGATAGGCAAATTATAATGCAAGGAAGAATATAAAGGAAGTATATGAAAAATACAATGGAAGGGCAGAAAAGGTAGGTATTAATTCCAATTGAAGAAGACTTCAAAAGAAGATGGCATTTGATCTAGAGTTGATGATTAAACGGAATTTCAAAAAGCAGAGACAGATATTCTACACTGAGGGAACAGCAATTAAAATGTATGGTATGTTTGGTAAGAACAAGAAATAATGCTAATATATAAAGAAGTCCAAGTATTTCAGGAGACAGAAGAAGAAGAAGGAGAGAGATAAGATAGGGAAGGAGGAAGGAAGGGAAGGAAAAAAAGGATGGGAGACAAAAAAGGGAAGAAAGGCAGGAAAGGAGGGACAGAGGGAAGAAGGAAAAAAGGTAAGTAATAAGGTTAAAAACAAAGATTAGCAAATGGCCCTAAAATGATAAGGAGTTTTGCTTTAACAGTAGCAACTGAATAGAAGTAAAATAATCAGAGCTAAGAAAAATTGCAGGTATGGATGATTGGTAATCAGGTAGGAAATGAGGAAAGCAGAGCTAGGACAAAAAAGTGGGATCAGAGAGGGACAGATAGATTCTTCATATCCCAGAGGCAGAAGTGGGAGGGCTTCAAAGCCAACTATAAGTAGCCTATGAGGGAGATGGACTCATCAAAGATGATCTCAAGGTTTCTAAGGGTAGAGAGCACCAGGCACTACAGTGATAGTTAGATGTTTATTAACTTGAAAAGGTGTTTACCATAAATTATGTTTTTAAAGTAGATAATAAAATAGTAGGTACAGCAATGATCCTATTTTGGTTAAAACACACACACACACACACACACACACACACACACACAAAAGATCACAAATGACAGTACTTATCTCTATATGGCAGAAT